CCTCCTCTTCCTGCTCCTAGGACCCTCCTCGATCCTCATCTTCTTCCTCGAGCTCAGTATCTTCCTCGAGCTCCCCCTCTTCCTCGAGCTCCTTCTCCTCTTCCTCCTCATCGATCCTCATCATTCTCTTCATCCTCGATCCTCCTCCGATGCTCCGCCCATCCTTGCTCCTCGTTCGTAGTCGATCGATTTCCCAGCCCTTTTCGCCAGTGCGCCAGCGGCGCCAGCGCCGCGCGGGGGGGGGCGGGGCCGACACACCTCGAGGCTGGAACGGCGATCGAGCACCGACTTCGCCCTCGATTAGGGCTGCAGTTCGAGAGGGGGATCAAGCGAGGGCCGAGGGGGAGATCTACGGATCGAGGCCCCGAGGAGGGAGTAGGGGCCTCCTCGATCCTCCTCCTGCTGGGGATCGACCGGACGCAGTCCCGCCGATCCCCTTGGGAGCCGACGGTTCCGCGCGCGGCCCCCGTCGATCCCCTGGGGGCCGACGGTCCGCGCGCAGTACCCAATCGGCATCGATGTATGGGCCGACGGCCCCGCGCGCAGCCGACCCCCTGGGGGCCGACGGTCGACCCGCTGTACCCCTGGGGACCGACGGTCCGCGCGCGCGCAGGAGGAGGATCGAGTGCGAGGCTCGACGGCCCTATTCGATCTCCCTTCTCTCCCGTCCGATCCGCTACTCGAGCTCGCTACCGCCTCGGGCGGGGCGTTGCACGGCTGGGGCCTCGGCCCGATCGCCAGGCGCCCGATAGGAGGACGGACGAGGAGGAGGAGGAGGAGAAGGAGGAGGAGGAGGAGGAGGGAGGAGGCTCGAGGAGGAGGAGGAGGAGGAGGAGGAGGAGGATCGGGGATCGAGGAGCCTTGAGGAGAAGGATGGCCCGAGGAGGAGGAGGAGGAGGAGGAGGAGGAGGAGGAGATCGGACGAGGAGGAGGATGAGGAGGAGCATGAGGAGAGAACATCGCGGAGGATGGATGATCAGAAGGAGGATGAGGAGGCGGCGAGGAGAAGGGATGATATGAGGGTTAAGAGGCTCAGCTTCTACTCGCCCTGCTGGATCCTCCTCGAGGTTCCCGCTCCTCGACGCTGATGTTGCTGCTGCTCCTCCTCGAGGAGGGCCATCGCCCCATCCCTCCTCCTATTCCTCCACCTCGAGGCCTCCTCCTCCTCCTCCTCCTCCTCCTCCTCATCCTCATCCTCTTCCTCATCTGATTATCCATCTCATCTACAGCCTCCCCTACGGTTGCTGACCTGCGAGCTTGCTCTCGCGCTCGAGGCCTCGGAGGGAGCGCGATCGTGTTCCTGTTGCTCTTCCCCCTCCCCCTCCTCCCCCTCCTCGCTCGTCCTAGCTCCTCCTCCTCCTCCTCGAGCCTCGAGGCTCCTCCTCGCTCTCTCCTCCTCCACCACCGCCTCTACCTCCTCATCGCCCTCCCCCTCCTCCTATTCCTCCAGCTATTCGTTGCTCGATGCGCCTCCCCGCCTTTTGGCGCATGCAGCGCGGGCGAGGGTGTCGATCTCGCGGTGGGCGCCCAGTGCTGCTCACCTACCTGGTCAGGAGGAGACTCAATATACACGAGCTGCTTGGGGGACCTGGCGTATATTGAACCCAACTCAAAATCAACAGAATCAGACGCAGCCTCGAGGCATCCAGAAGTTGTCTGTCCCCTGGAAGTTCGAAGGAGATGATAAGGCTCGAGGGGAAGGAGGAATAATACGAAGACTCGGCATTGCGCGTGGTCTCTTGTCGGGCCTGGCTGGGACATCGGGCGGCGAACGGAACACCGAAACTAAACCTCTGAGCGAGCGAGCGGGCTTCAAACTGATCGGACGAGCATGAGGTGACACGGGGGAGAGGAGGACAAGAGGAGGAGGCCCCGCCTAAAGGAAGTCCTCGCCGAGCAAAGTAGGTCGGCGAATGGTCGGTTGGGTCGGGGATATGCGCGCACGCATGGCCCCCACCGCCATCGACGAAGGGCCGAAGCCACATCGGAGATATTACGATGAGGGCCATGCCGACGGGGATCAGCCCGACCTGGCCGAAGCACCACCGCGCGCTGTTGATCAGCCCGACCTGGCCGAAGCGCAGCACCGTGCGCTGTTGATCAGCCCGACCTGGCCGAAGCACCACCGCGCGCTGTTGATCAGGCCGACCTGGCCGATCAGTGCGCTGTTGATCAGCCCGACCGTGCCGAAGAGCTCAAGCTAGAACTCCTCTGGGCGGGGAGCGATCCCTCCTCCTCCTCCTCCTCCTCCTCGATCCTCCTCCCCCTCAAGGCTCCTCCTCCTCCTCCTCCTCCTCCTCCTCCTCCTCCCCCTCCTCAAGGCTCCTCCTCCTCGATCCTCCTCCTCGATCCTCCTCCTCCTCCTCCTCCTCCTGCTCATCCCTCCTCCCTCCCCCTCATTATCCTTCCTTCTCCTCCCTTCTCCTCTTCAATTTTCCATGTGGTCCTGCGGCGTGTAGCCGTCAATGATGCTGTCCCTGATGGCCTTGGCCTCCTGCTTGTCGCTCACCTTCTGCTTCTTGAGCTGGCTCCACACCTGCCTGAGGATCTCCCACGACGCATTCTTGCCAGAGTCGGCGCCGAGCATGTTCATCGTGCGCTCCGCCATGCGGTCTGTGCACATGATGAACATTTTGTAGCCCGCGCCCGTGCTGTAGTCGATTGTGCTCGTCGATTCGCTTTCCCTGCGCCTCATCCGGGGCCACGCTGTCGTCCCGTCTGCCGCCTCGTACTCCGCCTCAAGATCCTCGACGTCCTTCATACTGATGGTGTCCGCCAGTTCGTCCGCGTCATCCTCGACGATGTCATCGTGCTCTTTCGGCACCTCCTCCTCTGCCTCTTCGCCGTCATCGGCCTCCTGGATGTTGGCATCCTTCTCCTCATGGGCCTGGTCCTTCTTGGTCTCCGACGACTGTCCCTTGCCCTTGCCCTTGCCCTTGCCTTTGGTGGCCTCCGTCTGTCCCTTGCCTTTGCCCTTGCCCTTGCCGTTGGTGGCCTCCGTCTTTCCCTTGCCGTTGCCCTTGCCCTTGCCGTTGCTGCCTTCCGCGTCCGCGCTCGTCTTGGCAGCCTTCTTGCCCTTGCCCTTGGCCGCGCCTTTGCCTCCAGTCGTCATCGATGAAGAGCTTGGTGCCGTCTTGCTGCCCTTGCCCGCTCCTGTGGCCTTGACCTTGCCTTTTGCTTCGCCCTTCCTGCCAGGTCCTGCTGTTCCCTTGCCTTCGCCCTTGCCTTTGCTCGTGCTCGCTGGCGACTGCTTGCCCTTACCTTTTTTGATTGGCTTCTTCGGCTTACTCGGCGTTGCATCGGGCCACGAAGGCAGCGCCGCCGAACTGCTCGCAGCCCCCGTCGACGTCGACATCTTGGCCTTCTTGGAAGCCGCTGCACTGCGATCCCCCGATGTCGTACGTTTTTTTTGCCGTTCTTCAGCTCGCTCTTGCTCGGCTTCAGCCCGCGCAAGCTTCTGTAGAAGGGGATGCTGTGCCGATTCTGCTCCTGCCGATTCTGCTCCTGCTTGACCTCGACCTTGTCATCGAGCGCCGCTGGCGCCTGGCTGTCGTCGAGCGCCGCTGGCGCCTGGCTGTCCTCGAGCGCCGCTGGCGCCTGGCTGTCGTCGAGCTCCGCTCGCGCCTGGCTGTCCTCGAGCGCCGCGGGCGCCTGGCTGTCCTCGAGCGCCGCTGGCGCCTGACTGGCGCCGTCGAGCGCCGCTGGCGCCTCGGCTGCAGCGATCTGGCCGCCGATCTCCTCGCCATCTCCAGCCCCGAGGTCCTCATCAGCCAGACCTTGACTATCAACCTCATGAAGTGCAACTGCCTTCAGGCGAGAAGCGGGAGCAGGAAGATCAGAAGGAGGAGCAGGAGGAGAGGGAGGAGGAGGAGGAAAAGAGGAGATGCGAATATTGATGAAGAGGAGGAGGAGCAGGATAAGTTGGAGGGGGGGGGATGGTGTGGAGGAGAAGGACGATGATGATGATGATGAGGAGGATGAGGAAAAAGAGGAGGGGGGGGAGGAGGAGAGGGAGAGGAGCAGGAGGAGAGGGGAGGATACAGAACAAGAGAAGTAATAGCTCGTCCTCTCCACCCCCCCTCCTCCCCAGCCTCCTCAAGGAGGCTGGGGAGGAGTGACATCAGTTGCAAGCGGAGAACTCGATGAGACGAGGACGAGTAGGATCATGCCTGGGAGAGCTTCATCTGGAGCTCCTCGTCCTCGACGTCGGAGTCGTCCGAAACCACAACCTCGATCTCGTCGTCGCCCTGCGGCTAGCGCAGTGGAGGCTGAGAAGAAGGACGAGGACCCAGTGCGGGTACCCCTCCTTCCCTATTCCTCTGACGCCGCCCCCCTCTCCGCTCTCCCCTCTTCTTCCTCTTCCCCCGATCCCTCCTCCCTCCCTCCCTTCTTGCCGTATTCCTTGTCCGCCTCATCCCTCTCCTCATGCTTCCCCCTGTTCGTGCCTCCCCATGCGATCAGCCCTCATCCTCGGCCGATCTCCTCGACAAGGTCGAGGATGAGAGGCCGAAAGGTTGGAGTCGAGATCGAGATCAACATCGAAGCAGCGAGGACGAGAGACTGCGGAACTTCGAAGATCCCGCGCCTCTCATCCTCCCGACGAAGTGCGCGCCTCGGCGGGTGCCAGTGCCAGCGTGGCGTCGCCAAGGCTGTAGCGCAGGAAGTGGCTGAACATCATGCGAATGGACCTCGACTGGACGAACCTTGGCGCAAGGAGAGGAGCATGATGAATAAGGGTGAGGATCCGACGGACGACGAACGAGGATGAATTCTTAGGAAGGTGAGTGAAATAACGAGGACGAGTTGGGGGAGAGGAGGGATCGGAAGAGAAGGAACATGATCGGGAGGAGGAGACGCGAGGAGGATGTGGAGGATCGGGGAGCGTCATCGTTCTCCTCGTGTTCCTGCTCCTGCTGTTGTTCCTCGATCCTCCTCCTCGAGCTCCTGGTCCAGCTCCTGTTCCTGCCCCTGCTTCTCCTCCTTCGCATCCCCCCCCCTCATACTCCCCACTCCCTCCTCGAGATCCCTCCTCTCTTCGAGTGGAACCTCACGGCCTCGATCTTCGCGATCGACGCCTTGCGGCCCGTGCACATGCGGATGCTCTCCGCCAGGCGATTCTGGTAGGTGATCTGCCATGCAGCCTTGACGGATGGGGGCGTGGAGGGTGTTGTTGGTGTTGATCGTCCTTCCTCTATCCTTTGCGTCGACCCTCCTCCTCCGCTTACGGCTCCTTCCCCTCGAGCTCCTCCTCCGAGATCTTCCTCAATCATCTCGTTGCGTCGATCTTGCTCCTCTTCTGGTTCTGGACTCGTCCCCCTGATTATCATCTGCCCCGCTTGCCCTCAGGTCCTCCCGAAGCAGCCTCCATCAGCGATTGCTTGAACCGCAGCCCTCCTCCGATGGCGTTGAGGCCTTGCATCAGCCCCATGAAGATCTGTCGGGGGGGGGGGGGGCACGCGCAGCTGCTCGGGCCGCTCCTCCCCTCCTCCTCGAGCATCATGTCCCTCATCCTCCTCATCCTGTTCCTCCTCGTAGTTTTCCTCCTCATCCTCTTCCTCCTCCTGCCTCATAAGGAGCAGGGCAGCCCGCGAGCCAGCAAGTGCGGGGCATATGCCAGCGCCAGGGTCTCCGAGCGTGGCCCAAGCAGCCCACCCAGGGCCTGGGGCATCCTGGTGAAACCTCACTCGTGGAATATAGTGGGTGACATTATTATGGAGAAACCTCACTCGGAATTCATGGGGAACCTTCCATCCTCTACTTCAGTAGACATGTTGATTTTATGTATAGCTGTTAGATATGTGTATATATACACACATATATATAAGCATGTATGTATGTGTACATGTGTATAGATATATGTGCATATGAAGTGTGTTCGCGCCCTTGGCCTTTTGATGGGCCGTGTGCATGGGGCCTGGGTGCTCGCTGTGCTCGGGCCGCTGGGGCCGCTCAGACTCGATCTGGCGCTGGCGCCCGCGAACTCTCGATGCTCGGCCCGAACTCTTGCGCGTGCGCGTGTGCATGTGTGGTGTTCTCGGGCCGCCGAGCCGAGATTTATAATTATTGGTGCCAATGCTCAGACCTTGTCCCTACAGGAGGGCAGCAGGCTTGGATTGCTGAAGCGTGATGTGCTAACGCCATCGCTCAGGAATCCAGGTCTCCCGCGATCAGGGGCAAGACCTGGGAATTGGGTAGCGTTGAGTTCGGCCTGCGTCGAGGGGCGCTTAGGCTAGCTTGCATGCTCATTGCTCTCGGTCCTCATCCTCTTACTCCTTCCCGTGCTCCTCCTCCTCGATCCTCCTCCTCTTTCTACCCCCCTCTACTATTCCCCTCAATCGTTCCACTTGGTTGTCCAAGAGCCCAGGCGACGACATTATTTGCGAGTACTCGTGGGCTCGGTTGTTGTTTGTTGGAGTGGTGGGCGACGAAGAGAGGATCGAGGGGTTGGGGCGCGCGACTTCGAGAAGAAGTTGGTCACGCGCGCGTGAACGACGCACTGGCGCGTCGACGCCCCTGCACAATAACGAACGAAACATTGAACGGAAGAGGAGACAACTAACGATGGAGAGGGAATATAAGCAGGGGCATGGATGAGCGGGCGTTGCGAGGGAGGGAGAGGGATGGGGAGCGGGGATGGGGGGGGAGTGGGTGGTGACCTCCTCCCACTCCCGTTGATTCAAGAGCTCTCGATGTTGGCCCCGCACTTGCTGGTTTCGAGCTCCCAGGGGAACCACTCGGATCCGAGTGGTTCCCCTAGGAGCTCGAAACCAGCGATCCTCGATCATCAGATCTCCACCCAGAGCGCGGGCCTCGATCTGTTCCACCTTCGGGCGGTCCGCGAACTTGGGGACGTCATACGTGAAGTCGGGGAGCTCGAAGCCTCCGATCTCGTCCCTCGATCGTGCTTCCCGATCCCCCCCCATCCCTCCTCCTCCTCCTCCTCCTCCTCGTCCTCCTCGGTCCTCGACCTAGGATCCCTCCTCCTCCTCTTTCTCCTCCTCAGCATTCCTCATTGACTTCTTGTAGACTCCTCCTCGAGGATCCTCCTCGAGCCTCCTCCTCCCCCTCTTCCCCCCTCCTCCTCCTCGTCCCTCCTCCTCCTCTCTTTCCTCCTCGAGCCTCCTCCTCCTTCTCCTCCTGGATCGTGCGGCCTCCTCATCTCTCGTCTCTTTTCCTCATCGGGGGCGCCTTCGACTCTCTCCAGCAGGGGCCAGTCGTCGACCCACGCGTTCCACAGGACCTGCAGGAGCACATGCCGATGGCCTCGAATTCGGGAGTTTGAGACGTCAAACTCCCGAACTCGGACCACCCACCATCCGAATTCAAACCATCCCGAACCCGAAACATCCGAACCTCGCTCGGAACCCCCGAACTCGAAACATGCGACCCTCGAAACATATGAATCATCGAAATTCGATCTAAACCTACAAATTAAAAACGTCAGACGCACACTCCACATTCGAAGCTCCTTCTTCCGTATAGGAAGAAAGAGAATCGAAGAGGGGGGCGGATGGGGGGATCTAGGAAGCAGCCGAAGGAGAAGTCGGAGGATGAGGAGGAGTCTCGAGGATGAGGCAGGATCGAGGGCAAGCGGGGGGATCGACGATGACGGGAGACGTGATCGTGTTAGTCGATCCGTCGCCGCCTCGCCTCGTATCCTCCTCCTGGATCCCTCCCTCCTCCTCCTCCTCCTCCTCCTCCTACTCCCTCCTCCTCATCCTCATCCTCATCCTGGATCCCTCCTCCTCCTACTCCTCCTCCTCCTCCTCCTCCCCTACTCCTCCTCCTCCTCCTCCTCCTCCTCCTCCTCCTCCTCCTCGATCCTCCTCCTCCCCCTCCGCCTCCACCCATCCTCCTCCATTTGGCTCGCCCTGCAACGTCGGCGACAGCGTCGGCGTCCACGTTGGCTGTGGCGACGTGGACGCACCCCTCGGGTTTGGACTTGCACGGCATCGGGCCTGCAGCCGTTCCTGCTCCTCCTCCTCCTTCTCCTCCTCCCTCGATCCTCCTCCTTCTCCTCATCCTCCTCCTCCTTCTCCTCGATCTTCCTCCTCCTCCTCTTCTCGTCCCTTCTGCCCCTCCTCGCCGCCTCCTCATCATCACTCCTCCTCCTCCTCCTCCTCCTCCTCCTCCTCCTCCTCCTCCTCCTCCTCCTCCTCGTCTCCCCTCTTCCTCCTAGGGGTCCCTAGGGGCCTCGTCCCCTTGAGTTCCTCCTCTCCTCCTCCTCCTTCTCCTCCTCCTCCTCCTCCTCCTCCTCCTCCTACTCCTCCTCATTCTGCTGCGCGCCTGCTGGCGCGCGTGGGGCGGCAGGCGCGCGCGGCTGGCGCGGCTCAGCGGGGGGCCCAGAAGGGGGGGAATCGAGGCACACGCACACGCACGCACACACGTGCACACACGTACACACCATACTAGCTCCGCGAGGTACTGGGACCCAAGGCCCCATCGAAACCACATTTAACAATGAGGGCCTCGGTGGAGGGGACGCAGGTGTAACCGAGGATCCCATGGGCGGAGCGGGGCTAGTTTGGCGCACGCGCGCGCGCATGCACACCCACATACAAACTTAAAGTCGGCGGCGCCTCAGGCGCGATCGCTTGAAGCGAACGCCCCACACACATGACACGTGCACACACATGCACACACACACACACACGCGCGGAGGAGGAGAGAAGACAGGGGGGAAGAAACATTGTAAGTGGGCGAGTGACAACAAGTAACGAAAAAGAGGCAAGGAGAAGTCGAGGAGAAGCGAGATTCCAGGCCCCCAGCTGGGCCGGCCAGACCGCTCGAGCGCGAAGGCTCTTGAG